GTACCATGTTCTGATAACGGTAGTAAGTTTTGTACCGACGTAATGGAGGCACTTATACTCGTATCAGGCATGACCCATAGGCGTGATGTTCCTTATAAAACTCAAACGCAGAGTGCAAATGAGACACGTCATAGAGAACTAAAGAAGCTATTGCGTACTGCACTGGATGACGTTGAGGATATGTGGCCTTATCATTTGAAATGGGTTCAGACTCAAATGTATAACTGCATGAATCCTTAAACTTGAACACTCCCGTTTCACTATTTCTTTGGCCGTTGTAGTGAATTACAAGCAACGTTTGACAAAACTGCGCCCGAGAAACACGTTACTCCGTGGCTACAATGACTTCGGTTTCCCCCGAGTACTATGTTCTGATAACGGTGGTAAGTTTTGTACCGACGTAATGGAGGCACTTATACTCATATCAGGCATGACCCATAGGCGTGGTGTTCCTTATAAACCTCAAACGCAGGGTGCAAATGAGACACGTCATAGAGAACTAAAGAAGCTATTGCGTACTGCACTGGATGACGTTGAGGATATGTGGCCTTATCATTTGAAATGGGTTCAGACTCAAATGAATAACTGCATGAATCCTCAAACGGGAACACTCCCATTTCACTATTTCTTTGGCCGCTGTAGTGAATTAAAAGCAACGTTTGACAAAACTGCGCCCGAGAAACACGTTACTCCGTGTCTACAAAAGATCGAGCATATGCAGAACGTTGTTTACCTCTGTTTACTCAAGCACAAAAATCGCGTCCTACTTAAAGCGTATCACCGATGGAATAACACTAAGAACACTGTTCAGTTCAAAGTTGGCGATTATGTTAACATTATTAGTCGCAATGCCAACGTCACCAAACTCTCTTCTAAGACATTTGTACCTTTTATTATTTCCTACCATGATGAGAAGAGTGATACTTACGAAGTGAATATCATAGATGGTACTAGCGCAACTAATATAGGCCTCACCGTATCCCTACCTCCGAACTCTCATTCGCTCGCTCATTTGATTCTGATGTCCCAGTTATGGATTCAAAAGTCAAAGATATAATTGACAAAACATCCGAAGACGGTTACACTTACTACAAGACCCGTTTTATGGATGGGACAGTAGCTTGGCTAACCTCCGATGCGTTTCGTGAATCTCGCGACTTCCTTCGTATTTTTAATAAGAAATGGAATAAGCGTTTACATAAGAACACACGAGATAAACGGAAAGGGTTTCCTCAGGTGACTACAAACCCGGATGGATCTGAAATTCCATATTTGCCGCCTACTTCCTATGTGACTAAACTTTCTGATCTGCTTACCAACAAAGCATATTTTTCTTCTTCTCGAACTTACTTACTATTGAAGAACAACCTGTGGCTATTACCTTACCAAGCAATAAACGTAAGGCGCCTACATCGGAAATGGTTACTGGACCAAAAAAATAAACGACATAGGTACAACATGAGTCTTGAACTCGTACATATAGGCACATACTTACTCGATAAGCCATGACCGAAACCGTTTTACTTCGTTTTTCGCTTTACGAACTAAATCATACCTTCACGTACGTCCGTAGTCCTAAAAGCTACTGGGGGCTATGTAGAAATACGGCCTCCGGTCAGTCTAAAATATCAAGATCAAATGAGATAACACATTGGTTTTTATTTGTATTTAAATAAAAAAATACAAGTTCTTTTTCCAATATTTTCAAAGTGTTCTATATTCACTTTGATGGCTCCAATAGCCTGAATATTAGGTATGACTCATTTACTTGGACCTATTTGAGACGATAGTAGATGTAGGGTATTATAAACTAAATTTTAGAATCTCTGAACTATTACTTACAGGTTTTGGTCTTCCCGCCAATCTCCAAAATCCAATAAGTCTTTTTATTATTATAACTTTTCTTCAGATGGAACTTTATTTATATTAGCTAATGTATTAACCTGACTTACGTTCTTATATATATATACAAATTATACATGTGATCATGAACACTTAGTACTTCTAGTGAAAATTATTCAATAAAGAACAGCTAGAGGTACGTCCTGTGTGATCGAGGATATTAAGGCTCTCACCAAGAGGCAGTCCCGATCATTCTTACACAAGCCACCACTGCTAAATCCTAACTGACTTAAAATTGTATCTTAGTTTATATAACATAGTTTAAAACATATAAATATCCATCGAAGTTTACATATTTTCAGTTATTGAGTAGTTACCGTAGTGTACTGCTTCTAGACTGTCTAACAATTGCTCACTATCCAGCGACAGGACTCTAGGTATTCTATACTACCTCATAGTGGCTGATACACCCTAGAGTTAGCTACACGCTACTTACTATACCTAGACTTTATTAGTTTTCCTATCCTTGAGCTATTACTATGGCTAAAGGAAATTCTGAAGGCAAGGAGCCGCCAGCTCTAAGCCTGCTAAGCCTGTTGAGGTTCCTGAGGTTACTGGGGACGCTGGTCCGTCTGGTGTAAACTTCGATGGATATTTCTATGTTTTAAACTATGTTACATAAACTAAGATACAATTTAAGTCAGTTAGGATTTAGCAGTGGTAGCTTGTGTAGGAATGATCGGGACTGCCTAAAAAGAACTTGTATTAAAATATTTTATATACAAATAAAAACCAATGTGTTGTCTCATTTGATCTTGTTAGACTGACCGGAGGCCGTATTTCTACACATGTCTCAGAAGTAATTAAATTCTGTAATTAAAGTTTAATAAATAAAAGAACAACGTTTCCCCCTCTGAACAAAGGGAGAACGTTGAGATACTGTTATTCGACGTTTAACTACAACTGTCTGGACTTTTTTTTCTGAGCGCACATGCCGCTACGCTACCGCGAAAGAACAGTTCAACACGTAAAAGAGTCTTGCACAGAACTTGTCAAAAAATTGGATGTATCTGCATTGTCAGAAAGTTCAAGTCGAATTTTGTCAATCTTCTAAGTTAATACTTATAGGCATATTTGAAGAAGCAGAATATACGAACAAGTTGAATATTTGCCTGGTCGGTAAAACAATCTATCAAGTCTTAAAATATGCCATTAATAAGTGTCCAGACTTTTATCTGAACGCACATGTCGCTACTGCGAGAGATCAGTTCAACAACTAAAATAAATAGTCTAGGGGTTGCTTGTTTTATTATTATTAAGATATGTATATGAATTTCCGTAAAAGAATCTACTACATGCCAGGACGCCAAAATTAACACCATAGCATGGAGTAAAGGAGTCTTGCCGAATCCGACAAAAAGTTGGCAACAAAATCGAGATCAGAAACTATCAAGTCAAAAATTGTCGATCTTCTAAACTGAAATGTGTATACTTATTTGAAGTTGCAGAATATATCAAGAAGTTAGATATATTGCTTGCCCGGTAAAATTATATATAATTGTGTTATGGACAACTGATCCTCTACCACCTGCTAGTATCGCAATATTAGAGATTGCTTGTTTGTCTGGGGTAAGTATCTGAGCTTCCGTGAGAATTGTCTTAGGAGAATTGTCTTAGGACCGCCATAGTAACATGATACCCAAGAGTAATTTAAAAGAATATTGCAAAACACGCAAAAAAAAAAAAGAGTCAGTATCTGGATCAGAAACTAACAAGTCGAAGGTTATTGTCCTCAGTTAATAGAATCCATTATTGAATACTAAATTTAATAGTGATGCCGCTGCGAAGAACTATTAGGTTCGTAGTGAGTATTTTCTACACCGTGTACAGCTCCACGTTTTCCCGCAGTTTATGATCAATCCAGTTAAGTGTTGTTGTGTGCGTCTTCGTAATAGAATGCGAGGGTTAGTCTGCAAGTATGTAGCACACATACGTGAAGGGGTGGTCGGTTAGCTTCACAAAGTTTTATAATATAATCAGAACAAACCGCCGATAAACGAGGAGCGACTGTAACCAATACCTGCTTGACACCGCTCCATAGTTTTGAAACCAAGCTATCGGCTTCCAACTGGTTTGCACACTCGATTGTGTACGATACATCCTGTAGGAACTGAATGCAATTTACGCGGCTGAAGGGTAGAAGAAATACTCTATGCGGTTAGAGGGCTACTAGTCAATAATCTATAGCCGCTGGTGGATAAAATCAAGTGACCAGTCGGAGATACGTTCAGAGGGATTGACCCCTATTCTTGCCTTCGATTGGTTGTATATTGAGCACTTGTTGGAAAGCTAAAAAAATGAATTGTTTCCTAAACACAACGCCTTAGACCACTCGGCCAACCTGCAATTTAATGACAGGTGCAGGACTCGAACCTGCGCATCCGAAGATATTGCGGAATTCACAACCAATGAGACAAATCTCAGTTGGGATTTCTCGACAATTAAGATTATTATATCTTGTTTTCTGAAACTAAAAAATCATAAATCATAAATGTTGATTGCTTGGATATTCTGCTGGGAACTGAACTAAACATTGGTAAATAACAGGAATACGGTTGTTATAGCTACGTGCTCTCATTGGAAACTGGCTCAGCGTATCTATTAAACGTTTATGGCGTATTTGTTACTACAATACAAAATGCATAGAAATAGGACTGAGTCAAGGTTGTAAGCATGCATTCATGTGCTAACTCGGCATTAATTGAAATTGAATGCCCACATTTCCGAGCAATCACTACAATGTTCGATTCCAACGTCAATGTGCAAACGTTGGACTAGTTTGTGAGTTTTCGTGCGCAATTAAATGAGCTTGTAGTCGACTATTGATTTGAAAGACCGGCCTGGATCGCAAAAAGATGAACCCTGCCATCAGAACGAGTGCAAACTGCAAGCGACTGATTCTCAGCGGATATTCTTCATACAGGGGTCATTGCAATAATACGATAAAATCCTCCTCCACTTACTGCATAGCAAGCACAAGGACTAATGATATTTAGCTTCGAAAGATGCGTTTACCGTACTTCCTTAGGTTTCGTGCGTTCCCAACCGATGCACAACTATTTACGAAAGTGCATCCAGAAATTTGATGTCTAGGATTACTACTTCTCTTTATTGCAAGAACTAACATCCACATCCCCTGGAGGCCGTGTAAATCGTTGAATAAGTACATGCGGCACATGCGATCTCGGTTGGTTGCTAAAAGGTATCGGTGCCATTGACTCTGGGTTATCAGCCGAAATCGGTCTGTCGCGCGAGCTTGGTTTTTTGCGGCGAGTTGATCCCCACCTCGATCTTGGCTTTGAGGTTTCATATCCAAGTGTGTCCCTAGCGCCGATGGCTGGCATTCGCACGGGCGTCCAAGCTTGGCGGATTGTCGTTGGACAGATGTCTGGTATATCAATCTGCATTAAACAGGGAAAGATTATTATGGTCGGCTCAGTATTAGAAAACAGTTGCTACACTAATACCATCAACTCCGCCTTCGAACTAAATATCTTCCGGACTCATACAACAAGGCCCCTGCTATTCCAACGATAGTATTAAAGTACGTAAGACGTTGAGATCAAGACACAGCTGTTAGGAGGTATTCAGTGGAATTGACCTGCAAGTCATATACAAGTAGCTCTACATATGCTCAGCAGAACATACCGCTGTAGGTATATGATTGTCAATCTCGAAAATTGAGGGAAGGTAAACGTTTATGGAAACAAACCGCGCTTTTTGTGAGGCATATCAGTTGATACCTCATACATTTAGTAGCTTGCCTATAACTAAAAACATACTTTGTTGAACATATCCTCTGTTAGCGATTGTCGAGGCCTGTTCTCGTCTTTTATTGGATCCCAGCCCGTGATTTGTCTCAATTCTCTTTCGACCGCGGCAGCAACCTGTGCATTTGAAACAAAAAACAAAACTTAGAAATCAATGACACATAATCAAATCGTCCGGATTCACTACGAGAGGCCCTCCGATAAAGATAATACTACAAGATCTGGACGCTAAGCGGTGTTAGCACACGAAGCCAATCTCGATTTATATACTAGCCGCATCTCCCACTTAGCGAAGAACTTGAATCACAAGAGCTACGACGCCGTGAAGTATAGTAATCAAAGCCTATACAAGCGCTGAACTATACGACAGTGGTTCAGCAGTTGTACCAAGCACGCTTCTAATGAGCATTCAGATGCGTGCAGGGACGGTAGAAATATCAGAAACACAAAACGATAGCATGGGTATATTAATATTATCGTTCTCATAGCATCGGGTCCTGATTAAGCTGCATAATCGACAATATTCAATTGATGTAAGGTTGCAATTGGTAAGACCGATCCTGCAATCAATCAACA